CTCTCTCTCTCTCTCTCTCTCTCTCTCTCTCTCTCTCTCTCTCTCTCTCTCTCTCTCTCTCTCTCAAGATATATCTATAAATAATTAACAATATTATTATTAACTTAAAATCATTAATCATTGATTTTATTATCAATTTAAAATCAAAATTAATAATATTTTTATATATAACTTTTTAATATAGAATTATAATTTTAATTTTCTTGTAATATTTTAATTTTTTTGTAGAAGAACATTTATTTAAAATTGCGACTTTTTTACTATATGAAAGATGCTAATTATAAACAAAAGCTTTCAAATGTTTATATTTCTTTAAAGTTTATAAAGATATATTATTATATACAAAAAGTATTGACAAGAAAAATATAAATGCCCCTGAAAAAACATAACACGTTAAGGGACTTATTCCATTGTCTATTGCTATATAGTATAGTATAAATATACTTCAGTGTACAATATGTGTACAATATATTTCAGAAACTAAAAGATAAACACAATAATACTACGTGACAATATGACAATAACTGACAGAATTTTGTACGCTTTTTCAAGAGCAAAAACCGTAATAAATTTAACTTTAATTTCTTTTTGTACGAAGGCTGGAAAAGTATCGTGCAGAGTAAATTCACAGCGGTAAGAAATTCACAAAATGTTGACGGCTGGCCGGACGGCTTGGCCGGAGTAGGGAGCACCTTGTATCGCATATAAGATGCTGTACCCGCGTTGTACTAGACCGGTACCGGCTGTAGGCGAGCAAAGACAGTGAGGTAGTACGGATTAGTACGCTCGCGCAGTTAGAGCTCGGCGTAGAGAAGCTAAAGACGTCCAGGCGTATAAATCTCTTTTCTTCCCCTCGCTTTCGAAGCCACGCCGCATTCTTACCAGTCAGCCGGGACGAGTCGAGACGACTCCCATTTTAACATTCACGGCTTTCCGGCGCTTAAGTATCTTCCCGCGAGGTGCGATCGCACGATCGTCCCTTCCCACGTGAGAAAGCAGAGAGAAACTTTTGCCGAATTGAATAGAATCGTCGAGGAGTGTCGAGGTGGTACCGCGCGCGGTGGCTCTGAAAAATGGAGATTTGCAATCGGGAGGACCTACTGTACGATGTGCCATGCGGAAAAGCGTCGCGCGTCGTTGAGAACGGGGAGAAACTCCGGCGGGAGAAAGTTTCCACCCTGCGGGAACTTATAGATGCGCTGCACGAGGCCTTCGAGACGGATCATGTGAATATCGATCACGTTCAGGACCTGATGACGAGCTACAAGAGCAATCCCGCGGAGTGGAAGAAATTTGCCAAGTTCGATAGATACAGGTATCTGACATATTTATGTACTCGGTTTGACAGAATACGATTTTATATATCTCTTATATCTTTCCTTCTTCTAAGATTAATTATCCTTCTTTTTTTATATTTCATATCTCATGCGTTCGATTATATCGATTATTATTATGATTTTTTTTTTTTTAATAGAAAATATTATAATAGTGCCTTGTATGTGTGATTCCATTGAATATGTATAATTCACAATATATTTATTTAAAAAAATATAATTGGAAAATCTGCATACGATAGTAGTAATAATATATTTGTACGTAAATCGTGGAGAATATTATAAACAATAGATCGAAAAAGAATAGATCGATTAATAATTTTAGCAATTAATTGGAAAAAATTAAAATGTTTTTTACATATAAACTTTACATAATGTCTGTTGCATTGTTTATCCAAAAATAAATATAATAAATGAAAAATTATATTAATCGAATAATAAGATAAATAATGAAAGAATAAAAATGATAGCGATAATAAAATATAAATAAAAAAATAATAGGGATAGGAAAAATAATAAGGGACGAAATTATATAATTACCAAAATCAATTAATCCAATACAATTGATTCCAATACAATTGATAAAACTTATACGCCTAATTGACAATTATCCACTGAATATTTGATGTAACTGCATGTTAATACCCGATGAGAATTGCGGCATGTATACGGAAATGTTTTCATTAGCTATCGACTAATTACATATCGATAATTACGATACTATTGCAAACATAATCAGCGCATAACGGTCAATTAGGGACATTCCAGAGAAATGCGGATGAAGTTTATATACATTTGATGATAACTAAATGACGGAGACAAATATTTTCGCCGATCAACATTTGGGGTGTGCGAATAGAATGTATACAACGCAATGCGGAATTGTGAAATGAAATTAACATGACGAAGTTCAGAATGGGTTATCGACTGCTTGTTGTCCATTCGTTCCCTCCCTTCTCCCTTCTCTCTCTCTCTC